AACTGCTGTGCAAGGATTTAGAAAACCAGATTATAATTTAACATTTTTTTTAATAGATTGTACTCCAGGATTTAGATAAAAAGGAGGATGGCCTGCATGATATACTGACTGTTCTCACGATGAAAAGGTACCCAAAGTACTTATTGTTCTGCTGTTTAGCTTGCTATGTCACGCTTCTGACAAGCGGTCTTTTCTGCTGTTACAGAATGCTTAATTTTGTGTTGAGAAATGTCAACATTTCATAGCTTACAGGGCTGTGTCCTAGCAGGGGTAAATTCTGTAGGAGTGTGGTTTTTATGCAGTACCTTCTGTGCTTTCACTGTTTGATTCTGAAAGAAATAAAACTTAACACAGTTGTATAGATGACTTTTAGCAACTTGTGAACTGTTGGTCAGTTTAACTGTGCTTGAGAGCAGTCAGGATCTCAAATGTCCTGCGGAAGGGGGCCAGGGAGTTCTGCTGAATGCCCACACTCTTAGGAAAAAAATGAAGTAGAATCTGTCTTCTAGTTGCTAAGGAATCCATGAGGGACTTCTCACGTGCAGCATTCTTGATGAAAACCTGTGGCACTCTCCTCTCAGAGACAGGGTGTTAAGCGTGAGAAACAGTGCCACTGGAAATCAAGCTTCATAAATCTACAGTTTATGAAATTATCTGTTCATTAGGGGAAAATATGAAGTGTTTTATGGCAGGGTGGAGCATGGGGATGACATGGTGTTGAAGAAATTTCTCTTAACTGTCTTAGGTCTTAATAGGAGCACTTGGGCTCATTTGAAATAGTCTAAATAGTTTACAGAGATATCAGAAGGTGGAATTCGAAGTAGTCAACGCATGTTTGTCTTCTGAGGACTGTCCTGAAGTTCCTACTGCTTTTCTAAATAACGACAGTTGTCTAGATGTTGCTGAAACTGAATCCCTACTTGCTATTTGAGTTCAAAATACTTCATTTTCTTATGTTAACCGTCAGGTATGTCAGTGCTCTATTAATACACTTCACCTAAAACCCCTTGTTAGTCGTACAGAGTGTGGTGGGCTGACCCTGGCTGGCTGCCAGGTGTCCACCAAAGCTGCTCTATCACTCCCCCTCCTCAGCTGGACAGGGGAGAGGAAATATAACAAAAAGCTCGTGGGTCAAGATAAGGACAGGGAGAGACCACTTACCAGTTACTGTCACGGGCAAAACAGACTTGACTTGTGGAAGTTAGTTTAATTCATTACCAATAAAATCAGAGTAGGGTAATGAGAAATAAAAACCAAATCTTAAGAACACCTTCTTCCCAGGCTCAGCTTCACTTCTGTTTCTCTGCCTCCTCCGCCGAGCGGCGCAGGGGGACGGGGAATGGGGGCTGCGGTCAGTTCATCACACGTTGTCTCTGCCGCTCCTTCCTCCTCACACTCTGCCCCTGCTCCAGCACGGGGTCCCTCCCATGGAGACAGTCCTCCGTGAACTGCTCCAGCGTGGGTCCCCCACAGGGTCACAAGCCCTGCCAGCAAACCTGCTCCAGTGTGGGCTCCTCTCTCCATGGGTCCACAGGGTCTGGCAGGAGCCTGCTCCAGCACGGGGCTCCCCACAGGGTCACAGCTTCCTTCAGGCAGCCATCTGCTCTGGCGTGGGATCCCTTCCACGGGCCACAGGTGGAGATCTGCTCCACCGTGGACCTCCATGAGCTGCAGGGGACAGCCTGCCTCATCATGGGCTGCCCCAGGGGCTGCAGGGGAATGTATGTTTCAGTGCCTGGAGCACCTCCTCCCCCTCCTTCTGCACTGACCTTGGTGTCTGCAGAGTTGTTCTCACATATTCTCATTCCTCCTGCTGCAATGCTGGTATGCAGGGTTTTTTCCCCTGCTTAACTAAGTTATCCCAGAGGTGCTACCCCGTCTTACAGCAGGCTGCTGTTGGCTCCATCGGACATGGGGGAAGATTCCAGCAGCTTCTCACAGAAGCCACCCCTGCAGCCTCCCTGCTGCCAAAACCTCGCCACGCAAACCCCATGCACAGAGATTTGTGCTTAGCATTGATAAGAAAAACATCTTGGGGATTATATATGCAACTGTGTAGTGCAGAAAACAGACATTATTTTAAAGGGTGTTTAATATTTAGGTGGAAAAGATTAGGGGAAGTTCACTAGAACACGTGTTTCTATCTAAATATTACATGTGACTTGTATGTCTGTATGAAGTAGGATTCAATATTGTCTCTAATTCCTGGATTTTGAGAATTAATGTTTTCCTCCATGGAGGAGATCCTTGGTATTTAAAGACTATTACTTCTAAAGAAAGTCAGGTTCTCGTGCTTTGAGAAGGTGTGCTGATCTGTTGGTTGCTGTAACTCAAATGTTCTCAAGATGAATATGTTTGAATAATGTTACTGCATATTCTATTTACAAACCCATTCTAAGTAAACTAAGTTACAATATTTAAACATGTTCCTGAATCTGTTGCACCATATGCAGATAAGGTACACGCTTCACTGGAGAACAACAAGTGCATATCTAAATACTCAGTAAACTAAACTGAATTTCATAAATCAGTTTCATCTGTGTTGAAGCAGGTTCTTCACTGGATATTTTGATGCTAATCTTTCTTCCTTTCCTCTGCCTGAAGACTGTTGTTTGTCTCCTCTGGAACACGCAGTAACATAGGAAGTGTCGTGTCGAGATAGCCCTAACCCTACCTTTCTCTTTTATCTAGGGATGGGTCCTTGCACGTTACCTGCACGGATCAAGACACTGGAAAGTGTGAAATCATCACTGTCGAAGTGGCGTCATAGTTTCTTTTGAAAGGCAACATTTTTCAGAGTTGATTTTTGTTTCTCCTTGGCTGGCTTTTGTGCCAAAGTCAAGACATCAGTGATTTTTAGAGGACTGTAATAAACTGAATTAAAACATAATTTGCCACCAAGTCTGTTTGGAGCTGAAAGCATGGTGCAAAATGTTAATTGAGACACACAGACAGCAAAGCACCGAATTACTAGCACCTGTTCTAAAACATGCAAAGGGCAGATCCTCCTGCCTGTGGTTCAGCAACAAGCATATTACATAGTATAAAGATTTTTTTCCTTGGACTAATCGGGCCGTGTACCCGTTCAACCAGTGTATCTGTGGCTTCAGCAGCATAGCCTTGAACCAGTGAAAATCCGCTCCCTGGTAGCTCTACCGCATTGTACTGAAATCCTGTGTGGTTTGGTGCTGCCTGAACCATGGGGGTGATGCCCATTGGTGCTGGCCTCTTGCGTGGAATTTTTTTCTTCTGGGGTTACTGTACGATGGTTTTGTGGTGTTACCAGCAAAACGTGTCAGGGTTGTATGTGCCTATTTATGTGGTTTATTAATAAAACATGTTTTATATGCTGGCATTCTGCATTCTGTGTGGCACTGTTCTAATCTGTATGTCAGCGTGTATTTGTTTGGATATAAGCTGGCAGCTTTTTTCATTTTAGGTAGAGGAGTAGTAAGAAGGAGATGGAGCACACAGGTGTCGTTACAGGATTTAACATGCAGCTAAGGGGCAACACTTCAGCCCCGAGGGCCAGATGTTACCTTGTAAAACACTCCAAGTGCCACAACAGAGCCTCAAACCCAGAGACAGAAACTAGAGCAAGGGCTGTGGCTCTGGATTTGATGAGACCTGCGTGCAGTTACCTGTTTTTCTACAGAATTGCCCAACTGACTTGTGTTTGCAGAATGTGTACATCATAGAATTATGGAATGGGTTAGGGTGGAAGGGACCTTAAAGGTCATCTGGTTCCACCCCCCTGCCATGAGCAGGGACACCTTCCACCAGACCAGGGTGCTCAGAGCTCCATTCAGAGGGCTCCATCCGCCCTGCCTTGAACCCCGGGCGGGGGGGGGCCAGCCACAGCTTCTCTGGGCAGCCGGTGCCAGGGCCTCATCACTCTCATGGTGAAGAATTTCTTCCTCATATCTAAATCTGCCCTCTAGCACATCAGTATTCCTCCTACCTCACAAAAGCAACACATACTGTGCAGCGTAGATGTAAATCTTGCCGTGTTCCAAGCGAGGGTCTGTGGTGCGTGGCTGCTGGCCTGGACCTGGACTTGGAACTTGGGGGGCTTCCTTCAGCAGCTGAGGTGCTGGGGAGGTTCGGCCTCCCTCCTCCCTGGGTCTTTTGATCGCTGGAAAACCAGTGGAGAGTTCACCAGTTTCTGTGACAAAGAAACGAAAAAACTTCCAAAAGGGGTCTTGGGAAGCCCAAGGTCTGGTTCTGTGGGGGCGGTGGGGTCCCCCGGCCCTGGTAGGCACAAGCACGGAGCCCCCCAGGGAGCGTCCTCAGGGCTTGCAGGGCAGTTGGCCGGGCTCGAGGCCAACGTGAGAGCCACCTTAGCAACAAACACCTCTTCCGAGAAACTCATTTTTGTTATAAATAGTGCCCGCGGTCCTTGCCTCCCTGCAGCGGGCAAAGCGCGGCCCCCTCCCCGGCGCCATGAGGGAACACAGAGGAACAGCGCGCTGCAGCCGCCCGCACGGCCCCG